TTTAGACGCAAACTGCGTTTAGACGTAAACTGCGCTTAGACGCAAACTGTGTTTAGACGCAAACTGCGCTTAGACGCAAACTGTGTTTAGACGCAAACTGTGTTTAGACGCAAACTGCGCTTAGACGCAATCTGTGCTTAGACGTAAACTGCGCTTAGACGCAAACTGGGTTTAGACGTAAACTGCGTTAAGAAGTAAAACTGCGCTTAATCTTAAGTAATCTTAAAATTGGCTTTTGTATCAAAATAGTTTTTATCGAACGAACGCAGCTTTCGTTTTAAATCGCTGAAAGATTTCCGCTGCACTAATTCACCCCCCCCCTCTTAGTGCTCTCGATCCTAACAAAAAGAACATTGACATTACTATAAAAATGCCATTAAAAGCCACATCAGCAAAGTACCAAAGGTAGCAATCATAACATGTAAACTTCCTGGCATGCAAGTTAACGAGTAAACAAGCCACAGAGGTGATTTACATGCGTTCAAAGCAGAAGTAACAGTTAATTCTGTTAGTTCTTTTTCCACATCATTATTGTGAATTTGTGATTACTTTTAGAAGGAAATTAAGGTACAATGTGGCTACTGTTAACATTATGTTCCAGCAAATAGTTCCTTCTTTTGCCTACACACATTCAGATTCAAGAATATATAAAGACTACACAAGAATAGTCTAACAATCTGGTCCTTTTCAGTGAATCATGTTTTTGCCATTCTTCACAGAGCAGGGACATAAACTGGGTTAATCTGGGGAGGCAAATGTCACAAGTCTCCAGAATGCAAATGCCACAAGTTATTGCGCAAACAACTCTATGACCGCTGCCCATTGTTTCATGCTCATGTTTTGAGCTAAAAAAACATGCATTCCTAACATTCTCTGTTAAAATAGGATAAATTTCAACTCAATAATTTACTAGTACTGTATAATGATACCTCAAGTACTCTGACGCGAAGCTTTAAATCTCCCGACTCAAGTTGTTTCATGAACTCTTCTATTCTCTGTATTCTGTATGGCATTGATATTGTATAATCTCTAGCCTGCATTTAGTGAGATAAATTAGCCTGACTTCAGAAAATCCTGCATAGCTTTCACAACTGAACTACAGTAGGAACTGAAACATATGGTTAATGGTTCAAAATGGCATAATTCTTCAAAGGGACACCAGAACTAAACTAAATATGAAACTGTGGTAGTAAATCTAAATGATAACTTCTTTCAGAAAAACAAACCATTTGCATGGTTATCAGGATCAAAACAGAAGAAACTGAATATAGTAACAAAGAAATCCCATCACACCAACAAAATTCAGCAATATTCAATAAGATCATTCAAAATAAAGAACAACATGCTGAAATCCATACATCATTAGCTTGTTTTCTTATCTCCTGAACTAGCTGTGACCCACCACGTTGCTTCTGTTTTATGTCGAGTAATTCCTGAAGTTTCAAAACAATAATACAGCACAGGTATGAGAATAAGGTTTAACAGGTGTGAGCTTAGCACATAGAAAGGGAAGTTTAAACAAGAGAAAAAGAATATAAGTGAAGAAATGGTAAGATTCAAAAGGAAATTAAGTAAATTCAGGAATGATGAAGACAGCATTGAGCAAATAAGAGGGCAGGAAACATGCAAAATAAGAAAAAGTAAGGAACTAACGAAGCCAAGGTATAATAGTTCCTACAGAGATAAGTGCCCTGACTTCATAAAAAAATTCAAATGAGGAAGTTGATGTATATGGAGAGTGCCACAGAGATTCTTGTAAAGCTTGCGGCAAACTCTGGGTTGAGCTAAATCGATACTCAAGACTGTGAAATGTGAAAGTTGGTTATATTTCTACCTGAGCATATGGTGCAGCAATCTTCACAAAGGAAAAGTCTGGATCCAATGTATATCCTATACCTGCAAAAAATATGATTCAAGTAAGAAGATAAAAGAGTATACATGTCTGTCATCAAGGTATATCCAAAGTACTAGATGATTATAGAATACAGGCAAAATGAAGAAAAAGCAATAAGACATTTCTGAAAATCAAGATGATTAATGTTTCATTCCTTATTCAAACTTCAAACTTCCAATAAGGCATTTCAACAACCTGATGTATTATAAGCACAACCACACCATTAATTTTTCAGCTTGAAAAATAATAGCAAATGTAAAACCAATTAATATCAGCCTTCAACTAAAAGCAGCCACAAACTTAAGCAACATGAGTTACTACAGAAGAAAAAGCACTTGAATTTTCAGAAATATGTTTCCTGAAATTCTTAACCAAATGTTTGCTGAAAGATACTAACATCTTTGCTTGTTTAACACTGATAAGAATGTAGAGTGTAAGAGAATGATAAAAAGATGATAAGTAATTTTGTTTTCTATTTTGCATTAGAAGATCATTTTTTGGCAGATAATCATCTCATGTTATGAACCGGATCAAGTAAGCTCCTGTATCTGGTGTTTATTTCTTATTTCATCCCAAAAATTATCTCACCTTCATGTAACTCAGTTTGCAATTAATACAACTATATGACAAAGGAACAGTAAATCGATTTAAGATGTCACAATATCATAAGAATTATGAGAACGGCAGATGAAAAGCAATAGAGGCGATGAAAATTGTTGGTATGGGCCCAAATTTGCACCTTCAAGAGTTGAGAATGCTCTTAGGACAAAGGTAAATGTGGAAGGAAAGCGGAACGGCTGATCAGTTGCTATTGCAAACAAATCCTATAAAATCAATCAATATTACATTATTATCGCAGCAATAAATTTAAAACTTCTTAATAAGTTGCTTATCAAAGAATACACACCTCGCCGATTGCAGCCAAAGTCTGCTGCTGACTGGGTGTCTGGCTCAGAAGATTATCCAAGAAAAATTGTATAGATCTCCTTACCTAAGTAATCACGAAAATTACAAGCATTTAAATGCAATGTCAATAATTGAACTGCATAATAAGGAGTTGTTTAAGAATTTAATGCTTATAATAGAGGGAAAATATAGCAAGTTTTACTAACTGGTGACAAGTCTCCTGTTGGTTGGAGTGCTTCAAGGTCAATCAGACTTTTCATAACCTGTATAAAGATCTTGTTAGATGGAAGAACATTACTAAGTAAAAGACTAACAAATCAAAATCTGTTGATATTAGAAGCACTTATTTTATGAGATTAAGTTAAAAGTACTAGTCAATATCTGCAGATATTACAGTTAAATTTTATTGAAAATGTATATATGAAGTCTTTATTGAAGATTGCCACCCAAAATTATTTGCTTGGTGGACATTCAAACATGCAACCAAAGTTTTCAATTTCATACTGTACAGCTCGGTACGGTTGGTATGTACTAGTCCGCCAGTCTATCGGCATATGGACCACCCGCTACCGGGCGGTACCAGATTTTTGGTACCATATCGGGTGATACAAGGCTGTACCTTCAACCGTTACCAACCTGTATCAGGCGATACCAGTCGAAACCGACCATTACAGAGTTATATTGGTTTTCAAACGATCAATTTGATCGTTTGAGGCATCCTAAAGGTTTTTAAACCCGTTCCTGCCCCCCCCCCCTTTCAATCTATTTCACTCTCACACTCTAACTCTCTCAAACTTATTTTTACTTACAACCTCTTACTTATTCTCATATTTTCACTCTCCAAAACTCAAAAAAGCAATGATTAGTGGATTGTATCAAATTTAGGAGTCTAATTTTCACTCACACTGTTTCACCAATACATGCCTGAGGAGCCGCCTCGGACACATGTGATTCACGACGATCAACCTACAACCATCACCACATTGATGCACGAATGACATACGATGTATCAATACACTATATCGTGGGATCAATTTCAGGATTGAGTCCGACAAGCATATCATATTGATATACAGATATATAGGATCAAGGACTCCGATCCACCACTTGTGGAGGTCCGTCATTCATTTTGTTGGTAGAATAAGGTATATCTACATATGTGATTACTTAATTCATTTGAATCTTAAAGTTTAAGTTATATATAAAATAATCTAACAATTCAAATATTTTTTCTGTAGATAATTCAATATTAACGGAAGGACGATCCAAAACATATTGAAATTACGAACCATGCACAAGGCTACTCCTCAAAACCCGAAAAAGATATGTGGCATTATTCTTACCCAATTTACATTAGTTTTGCTAAAACTATAACCTAACCATTTTTTTTTCAGGTATTTTTTGAGGGTTTTATGCCTATTTTAGGCATACCGCTTGATACATTGGTATGTACCGTACCGAGCTTGCTCGGTACGTCACTACGGTATGAAATTAACATCCTTGCATGCAACTATGACCACGAATTTGTATCTACATTAATTCAGTTATCTGGAGAGTATATACTTATCATACCTATCAAACTCACAATTTTCCATATTCTCTCGAGCACAAACTTATAAATATCATTAAATTTTAAACTTGGTGGTAAAAATGATCAGAAATGCATAATCCTTAGAACTTCTCATAAATGGTATCATTTCTTCTCCAATGTGATCTGTTATTTGACTTAAACTAATCAAGGGAAAACTGCAGGTGTACCACAGACAGGTCTTATCTCCTATACCCTTCAGCAGTTGAGATTATCTTGAAGAAGATACAAGAGCAGATGTGCCAGATTCCATCACCAAACCTGTAGAATTCTATTGTAGCAGGCTAGCAGCATAAATGACTCCTTTGCTTTCTGATATACCCTTGCCAAACCTAAGTTATCTAAAGCTTTCCTATCTATCAACAGTGGGAAAAAAATTGACCTTATCCGAATTTTTTTGATCATTCTGTCCATGTTTGCAACTTAACCAATCACCTAACCAGATTCAAACCAAAGTTGAGTGAAACACCATATAATAGAAGCAGATTGCAGGGTAAGATTGAAGGTATCTTGGATATATAGTGGTTTATATGGGGTACCATCTTGTAGAAGTAGGTTATGTGGGATAAAAAATTGTAACGTTGTAATGCAGATAAAATAGTGCACTGCCAAACAACTTTTAAAGTTTAAACTTTAAACAACAGTTTCTTATAAAAGGCAAATTTGACAACTCATTAAAGTTAAAATTGAGCATCTAAAGTTATTACATGGAATGGAACACAAAAAAGGAAATTGTGCCATGTGAGAACAAGACACGAAAACAGCCCCCATGATGACATTAGCATCTAAAGTTATTACATGGAATAGAACACAAAAAGGAAATTGTGCCGTGTGAGAACAAGACACGAAAACAGCCCACATGATGACATTGTGTATCATCATATAGCAAGCATAATATCATTGCCTTAAAGTAGCATATACCTTGTTTGCATCCTTTTCATAGACCGCATAAAACAATTCAAGCAATCTCTCTCTTGTAAAAGATTTTATTTCACCCATCATTCCAAAGTCATAGTAGATAAGTGACCCATCCTTGTCAATAGCAAGATTGCCAGGATGGGGGTCCGCATGAAAGAAGCCAGTCCTCAAAATCTTGAATCAGCAAAAGAGAGCAGCATGTTAACAGAAGAAATAACAGTATTTCAGTTCAATTGCACAATAGAATCATCTGGACTCGTAATTAACCATGTAAAATATAATTCCTATAACATACCATGTCTCAGAATGCTTATGAACAATTATGACAAGTAAACAGTACAGGCATAGTTGTCAGTGTAAATCTGATTGGCTTTATCACTTGCTGCTCCAAGACCAGCAATCTATACTAGGAACCAGGACAGAGTTGACATCTAAGTGAATGTTTCAGGTAAAAAAAAAAGACATATCTGGCTATTAAGTTATCTCAGAAGAGCACAAGCATCATAACTAGGAAGAAGCCCAAATAAGGGTGGAATTTTTTTTCCTAAAGACCTTTAAGTAATCAATGTGTTAAAATAAAAGCTTGAGATACAAATACCATGCAGAAAACATGTGGAAGTGAAAAAAAAAAAAGACAGGTGATAAGTGTGATTCGCAGAATATACCAAAACCAAAATTTTCTACCTGAATCAAGTATGATTCTATTGCACGTGAAGCAGTCAGAGATCTGCTGTAGCCCAATGCATCTATTTGATCCAAGTTATTTATTTTTGTACCTACTCAAACAGAAACAGTAAAATAACATATTTAGGTTTAAAATAAAAATCAAAGCCACTCAAGCTTGACACCACAAATTGTCTGTTATATTATGGCATCCATGTTTACATCTCAAAAGTATGCTAGTAAGTGCATCCACACCTGCTTCTAATTGTCTGATATTTAAAAGAATCAGAGAACAAACTTACCCGGAACATACTCCAAAGTCAAGACTTTCATACTGGTATAATCCCAATGGATAAGCTACAATTTCAAAGACACATGTGCATTGAGGCAAGGACCCATAGAAAGGTTTGTCAGCTAAATGCAAAGGTTTAGCAGTCAACGAGACATACAGGCACTCTGACCCACTTTATGTTTCTAAAATCCCGACGAAATCTATCAGCATTCTTTCCTTCATTGATATAGTCAATTTCTTGGTACAAGATCCTGAAATTAAGGGATTGCAGACCTCAGGTGATCAAGGTAATCAAAACATAGTTGGAAATAAGTTAGTCTCACTCTAAGAAAAAACAGCAGTGGCAAATTCAAAAGCATTCCGAAGCTTAAAGGATGTGAAAGTTCGTCAAATAAAGTGACAAAACTATGCTTTAGGATTTAACAATATGAAATGAAAGTTATGTTTCATGCATGAACTTTTCTCTTTGACATACATATAACACCTGCCAAATCTCAAATAGGCAAAACCAGAATAACTCAAATCAAGAAGATGGTTACAGGACTTTAGCTGAACACCAAAGTCAGAACTCAAAAGACTAGCTATTCAAAACATGCATTATTCCCTTCATGAACTTCAAGCCAGCAAAATAGCAAGACAAACACAAACAAATTAAAATTAGGCATTAGTTGCATTACAAACTGCAGAAGGGTCGACTTGGTGGTGTGATGATCAGTGACCTTAGCTATTGCAGATATTCTAGCTAATGAACATCCTTTACAGAATTTAGAGTAAGGCATCCACTCAAAGTAACTATATTGATCTTTACACACATCTTTTTTAAGCATCAGTTGGGAGATGACAGCTTCTTCTTGTTCTCATTGTTGTCCTAGCAAATGAATATAAACAAGCTCAAAACAACAAGCAAGAATAAGCATGTATGTGTGTTTTTATATATATATATATATATATATATATATATTAATTTATATATATATATAAACGAGGCGATGTCACCCCGCCTGGGAGAAGAGAGAGGCGACGTCACCGAATTATATATATATATATATATATATATATATATATATATATATGGAACAGAATCCTCTAGATATATAAAAAGATGCCTTTGTACCGATTAATGTTTCACTGTATAGTTTCAGGTCTAGTGGGTCCATGCTAGGAGCAAAGATGGGGAAAAAAAAGCAAAATAATGATTTGTCCCTATTTTTTTCATTCCCTAAGATTCGATATTAACCATGTCTAAGGAGGTTAATGGCATATCTCAATGTCCTACCACTAGTAGGACAATATCCCTACTATACAACACAAAGCAAAAAAGAACCCAAAATATCAGTATGAATTGGATTGAAGCCAACGAATGGATATACTATTGTTAAATGTAAGACAAATGAGAACCAGTGAATTTAATTACTTACTTTGAGCATTCATCATATATACCGACCCAATCTCTTGTAGGACCTCCAAATGTCTCACTTCTTTGAAAATATTCAGCAACCAGCTTCAGATTTCCTGACAACAAACAGTAGATTTAAGTGATTAAAATTGCAGTCAATATATTCCAAACTAAACTACACGATACATCATGGTACTAGGGTGCTTCTATGCAACACATTACTTCATATTGGATCAACATGCACTAAAAACATGAAATAGCTCGCACACTAAAAAACCAGTCTTCCTTTTAGTAACTCTTTTCTGAGAATGAGCAAGATTTCTGTTAAATCCATAAAAGTCAAAGTCAAACTATAGTGTAAGTTTTCTCACCACAAGATATAATTATAGTATATGTCAAAGTAAAATCAAAATTAATTACCAAAGATAACTTGCCTCAACTCAAAGCCAAATGCATTCAGTTTATATTCTTTAATTAGTAGGCAAAGAAAAAAAAAAGACGAAGTGCTTATTCTCAGAACATTGATGCCAAAAAAGGATTTGATTGTCTACAATCTACATATTAACTTTATGTAAAAATAATAAACAATAATTATGGAAAACAATAATTAACTTTCTATCATTTGCCTTTCTGACTTCGTCTATTTGAAAAGGCACTTAAGCATCCATCCCATTTTATTACCAAAATGTCCCATAACTGAACCTGTTTTAACTTTCAAGAAACTTCATAATGACCTCGCAAATGCACAGATATTTACAATATTTATATGACAATGATTTTAAAAAAACTCAAAATGATGAACTAATGCCCATAATCAACAACTAATGCTTGTAACTAGGACAGAGGGCCCAAGTAATCTCTTTTGAGCTAATGTTCTGTGATAATACTTAAAATTAATTGTGATGGTCACAAAGATAGAGCTAGAGTTGTCTGGTGCCAGAAGAAAGAAATCCTACAGATAAAGCACTATAACAACGGGTAGGACAGTTGCCTACTGCAAATAATGAATATATGACAGAAGGATAGACAGACATTATAAAATATAAAAGTAGTCCATAAGAACAATTACCTTCAAACACACTAGTATAATCAAGTACCTAGTTACATTATCATTACAACAGGCAGTAATTTAGATCGCTTACTTAAATCAATGTCAAAAAGCTTCTTTAACCCTGGCCTTTGAATCTTTACAGCAACTCGCTCACCACTATGAAGGATAGCTCGATGTACCTAAAGAAAATAAAGGAAGTCAAATCAGATATATAAAGGATCCAAGTGTGGTGCTTGCTTCAAACATATACAAAATATAACACATCAATGATCGATATCAATAGCCTTGATAACCAGCGAGAAGACCGTACATAGTGAAATAATATGATGACAATAATATAAGATCAGTCTATACAGGTTTCAATTTGGTGACATTTAAAGTTGCAACATTTTCAACTTTGGATAAATTGCATAAGTAAAATAGAATATGTTTGAACAAGCAACCATGCTTTACATGGACACACTATATAGATATATATCCTAACAGCTATAAGAAAAGCTAGGAAAGGATAGAACCATCTACTGCACAGAAATGCCATGTGTCTGCCAATTAGTTCTGCATAGAAGTTGAAGGTATTTTAATCAAGTTAATATGACATAGATGAACCAAGGCACTGAGTACACAAAACGAAAAGGAACAAAAAGCACAAAGAGAGAAACAACATTCTGAAACACGATTCTTGTTAATGTACTAACTATTCTTGTTCACAGTTTTGAACAGCTAGTATGCCTACATGCAAAAAGAATAATTAATACTAATTAAAGCAAACACCTGACCAAGACTAGCAGCAGCTATTGGCCTGTCTTCAAATTCCTTGAACAATACTTCAATGGGACAACCCAACTCACTCTTAATGAATGCTTTTGCTTTTTCAGGTGAAAATGCAGGTACTTTATCCTGCATAAACACACAAATCTTCAAGGTCTGGATGTAGGAGAAATAAATCTGCATGAACTATAAAGATTCCTTCACATTAAAAAATGGTACCGCTGCATATCACAAAATAAATAACCTTCAAAAAGCAATTAGTATGAAAAGCATTGTCTTTGAACCATCAAGCAAGAAGACTCACTTGCAAATAATTTTCAGAAAGAATTGAATTAAATTACTTGCCAAAAGAAGGAAGAGGAGAAAAAAACAGTAAACTCACACAAATAAAAAAACGGAAGTCAAATTAAGCACTCACACAAATAAAAAAACAGAAGTCAAACTAAGCACATTTGGTGTATATGTAGAACATACATATACAACTTCACAAACCATGCAAAAACCAACTGGTATACGGTGATGCAAAGCCATAAAAGTCAACAAGCATATTTAGAAAAGATTCATCAAAGATAAAGGAAGAGACCATCCATTCAGTACCTGCAGCTTGGCAAGTTCATCTACGAACTCCCTCGGGAACAAATCTGATCTTGTTGAAGATAACTGTCCTAGTTTGATAAAAGTTGGTCCAAGTTGAAGTACATGTTCTCTCAACCATGAAGCAGTTTTCTTCCTTCTGATTTTCTACACAGTAGAAAGCATCACTCATAAATACATATTTATATATATGCAGAAACTAGAACTTTCAAATACAAGCAACCAAATCATAACCACAAGCAAAAAGAAACCATGCAACCTTGGCATTAAAATATTATTAAACAATTAAGAGAACATCCTTGAAGGACCTTTAGAAAGCAACATTTGACATGTTAAAGGAGGGATATAATAATCTTTCAGTCAATAGAATAAAAATTATATTGAATTTGATTCTTCTTTTTTTATCAGAACAATATGACTTGGGAATATTGCTTCAATTTAAATTGATCTATGCAATTGATAGACAGATATGCAAAGCAGGACTGAACTTGAAAAGAATTTTGAGACTTTCAGACTGCATCACTTTCATTAAGTCTTTATATGAGCATCTATTTGAGTTCAATAGTTCTCACCTGCTTGTCCTCTGTGAATCCGTCAACATATGCCCATTTTGCATTGTCAAAGAGGACCCTCAAGCGTAAAGAAAGCACAAAGGACCAGATGTCTACAGTCCTTTGCCAGGAATTGTAATTTTCTTTGGCCCAACTGAAACCTTCATCTGAAGGTAAGACTTTTAACTCATCTGTGAAGGGGATTTCTTTAGGTTCCATCTTCTTTGTAGTTTTAACCAGACCTGATGTGTTTCCCCTCTTAATCAGACTAGCACCACGAGCTGCAGTCTTAGAACCATTCACCGACAATGATTTTTTATGGGAAGATTCCCTATGTGTCACCAAATCCTTTGTTGGAATCATTTTAGTAGCCTTTCCATTGGTGCCATACCTATCAGATTCAGTCTGCCGCACCTCTGCTAGGATCCATGGAAGTCTCTTTGTTGGTAAGGATTCATTTACCGCTTTTCCATACTTTGCAAGTTTCAAATTGGATAATGATCCTGAAAAACTGAAATATTCTGGTGCTTGCCGCTGATCTGTGGGTTCCAAGTGTCGATGATAGCAACTATTTAAAGCCAGTACAGTTGCCATCAAAGAACAAAATTGTTCAAGGGCCCTGCACGGAGGTCAAGACTAAACTCGATAAATATGGTGTGAACTTTTATAGTTAACATTTCTACAAAAAGTCAATTTCAAAGTTAATGTCTAACAGAACGGAAAACAACCAAGAGCATGCAAAGAAGTCATAATGGTTAAAATAAAAACAGAAGACAAATCGCTGTTCCCAACTATTGGATTAATTGCATGGATCCTTTCCCCTTGTTGAGCTCGATTTAAGGTAGTATCTTCTTTTTATTGATTCTGAAAGAATCATATTTGTAACTGCGTTCTAAGAACCTGTGATTGATTTCTAAATGAAGAGCTTAATTCCCATAGCTAATCAATCACAAAAGTAACTTGCAGGCCATGCCTTTCTCTTCCCCTTTCTTTTCTTTTTTTCTCTTTTTTAATCACCAAATAAAAAGATTATGCCAAGTCGAAATGAGGTCAACGCCTTCTATGCGGCACAGGGCAATCAAGCTAGTTATAGCAACTAAATGAAAAGAAAAAAAATCATCCAACAGCCAGAAATAAGCTTCGTGCAGCATCGATGCAACCAATGACATAGGCGAGGAAAAATGAGCTTTAACAAACATATATAGCTGACACTCAAACCCCGACCCTTCCCTGCCGAGCAACCTGCATGCCAAGTACAATCGCGCCAACCAAAAGAAAAACACGATCTATCCCTTCCGAAACCATCCATCCCCCATCCGAAACCCTCGTGCCCCACTCATCGATAATCATAAAAACTCACATCGAGAATCAAAGAAACAAGCCAGGAAGAATAACAGAATCAGAGGGAGAGAGACCCTCAAAGACCAATCACCTGCAAATCCAGAGGGCCAAATCGGCCGATTCTCGCCCCCAAAGACCGAGCAAAAGCAAATTAAGACTCCGGGACCCGCGAGACTCGTGCGCCAGGAGAAGAGTGACGCGAGGATGGAATTGAATATGTAGCATGAGAGGCTCGAGAAGCGTGAGAGACTCGACCAGAGGTGGGCTAAAGGACAAAAGGAACAGAAATAAGAGGAAGGTGAAGTTGAGGTCGAACGATCACCGCGCGGCCGCTTGGTTGCTTCGACCGCGCGCCTCTACTCGCTCCAGGAAAAATGAGCAATACGTTTGGTATATAAACTTCTCGTGCAGATATTTGTATTCCCGAGTCCGAGTTTGTGCTCATCATAAGTTTCTTTTGTATTTTTCTTTAAAATAGATCAATTTTTAATCAAAAGAAATGGGCTAAATTAAGAGAGATATGACTAAGATTCCTATGAAATATGACTGATACGAACAAACAGCACTCGATTTGTCTAATAGAGAAAGATGTGAACAAAATTTTTCTAAGAAATCAAATAATTGAAGTGATTTCCTTCGCAAAATTAACAATAATCCAAATAGTTGTACCTAATCAAATGTCAATATGTAGCTAAATAGTTGCACTCCACCACCCAATTTTGAAGAGAAATATGGTTTATAACAAGGTCTGTTGTACCGAATCGTACCGTCCGATATGGACGATACGTACCGGTCCGACAGGCCAACGGTATGCGGACCGCCCGCTACCGGTCCGATTGTAACAGTGCACTATAGCACTGTAACAATATAGTTTACTGTTGCAGTGCACTGTGATAGTACCAGTACGGTGTTACAGTGCTCGGTGCACCTGAGTATACCGCTCGGTACACCGTACCGTATCGGTATCGAGCCCAGATCAAAACACCGATACGATACGGTATTACGAACCTTGATCCATAATATATAGATATATCGATGTATGGAAGATATTTAACTGAATGAATTACGATTCGTTATATGTTCTCATGTTTTCGAGGTGATTAACGTGAATAATCAAATAATATGTTGATTAATCAAACAATATGTTGATTGATTTTTCCCGATATAATATTTGACAGTGGACTATTATCCATCCAATTTTGTCGGTAATATATATTTGTTTATATTTAAATATTTTTTTTATAAAAAAGTAGAGAATATAAATACAATAAAATTAATATAAATAAGCATTTGATGTATCAAATAGACTGCCCACTGCATGCTTCGGTAATATTCCAATCAATACATAATCATTGGTAAGTGGGTAATATACCACTATCACATAGTGTTAGTCACAAAAATTTTATTTTGATTGTAGTGTACTCAAGAATTCATACTGTTCGAAATCTCATTTAGATATTGATTAGCTTAATTGATATAATTTGTATAAAAAATATCAAACTAATATTTTAAATAATAAAAATGTATTAAATAAAATTAAATTTTCAGATTTTTTATTTAATTATAAATAAAAAATTGGATGATTTTTCTAAAAATATACATATATTGGATATTTTTCCAATTGATACCCTTTCTTTTGCTTTTTCTCCCACAGTACCCATAATTAAAAAAATATAGCAAAAATACCCTTCAAAATTTTTTGGTCAAATTTTTCTACCCTTTTTTTTAATCAGCTTTAGATGATTTTAGTATTTTTATTAAAATTTTATAATATTTTTATTTGACTCATTTATAATATTTTCAAATAAGTTTTACAATATTTTTATTAGTTGTTAAAATAACTATAACAAGAAAAAAATACTGTAATAAATAAAAAATTTAAGAGACAGCTTGAGTATTATTTAAATTAAAAATAAAAAAAATAAAGGATACAAATATGAGTATTTTATAGAGAAATCGTCCTAAACACTTTTAACTTAAATATCATTCCATTCCACTGCGGTAGTCACTCAGCCAATAACCGGGCCACGGCCCGGTTCGTAAGAGCTTCCCTGCGTGTACTTTTTCTTCGTCTCCGCTGGCCTTTATTTTACCTCGATGTTTTATATCCATTTTTCTCTTCCTTTTTCCTAGAGGGAGCTCCCATCTCTCTCGCGTCCGTCGCATCCGAATCGCTGCCTGCCTACGCGAGAGGGGCGATCGATCTTTCTCATTCGACGTCTTTCTGGTACGATCCCTCGTTTGGATCTCTCGATCACCCTTTCCGTATCCGTCGCTAGAGATCCGTTCGATGCTTTGCCATGACAAGGTGTCTAAGAAATCTTGATTAGGGAGCTGCCGGATCTAGAAACCTGCTCTTGTTAACGAACTGACCAGTAAACTGCCTTGTTGGCTTTGCGTTGATGCTTCGAAGTGCTCGTGGATACCTAAATGCTCAAATTGTTCGTTGCCGATGGACGATCTTGGTTTCGTGGCTTGATGAGAGAGATTTTTTATTGTGATTATCTGTACATATGATAAATTTCGAGTCCAGAGGGTCTGCTAGAGGAATGAATGCGTCATTTTTGTCTGGATGGGCGTGGAGATAACAAAAAAAAAAAACAAAGTCAGTTTGTTCCAGTCAAAGTAGCTTAATTTTATTTTTCTTCTTTTATGCGTCTGAAGTTTTGATTATAATGCTAAGGTCACGGTAATATAAGCTTTTAACAGCACAGAACAGCAGCTATGAGATTGGATCCTTGCAGATGCAACTATGAGATCAAATACACCCACAAGTGTATCTAACGCAATCTGCATCCAAAGGCAGATTATTATCATGGATCCTCTTACAGTAGGTCTAGTTCACCCAGATGGTAACCTACCGTTGGGATATATTTTGTTTACAGTGGAATTGTTCTGGTTTATAGTTTAGCAAGATGAATTGTTATACCATATATGCATTTTATTAGTTAAATGTAGGTTCGGCAATCTTGATTGCTAGGTATCATTTTCTAATGAATACTAAGCAGAGAGCTAGTCTTCAGACTACAGGTGGGGCTGGGTAGTTTAAATTGGAAATTATTGGGCTGAGGTCTTGTTGTTTGAGGTGACATCAACAAATACTGCATGTTGCTAACGTGGATCATGTACACATTCCATGAGAAGAGCACAGGAAAAATTGTGTTATATCTATCAGCCATATGGTCCTCTCGTAGTCCGAAAGAAAAAATCATCGATTCCATGTGTAGAGCACAGACAAGTTAATAGTAGACTGGAGATATATTTGCATCTGGATAGAAAATCCTTTACACACTTCTTATTGGATCAATCAACTACATGAAGTGTGGTCGCATCACTTCTGTGAATGACTTATCTTTCTCTTTCCCTTGCACATTGTTTGTAAAGGAAAAGAGAATGACAGATCTGAAGCAAGTCACTTTTCCAAACAAAAAAGAAAAATTATTCTAGTTTATTGTTTCAAATGATCACACAGCATTACCATATCTTTCTATGAATTTGTAACTAGGAGTGTGGATATTGAAGTTGTTACAGAGGATAAGTAAAATTAGGCAACATGTTTAAGCTGAAGTTACAGCTGACAGTAGATGTTGCTGCATGACATGAAAATAAGGGTTTCAACAGATTACTTTGTTGTACACCTTAATAGGTCTTGATGGATCCCATAAATTTAAGGTATCCGTTAGATTGTTTGTTCTTTTCTGATCATGTTTTAAACTGGTTATATCTGATAAGTTTGCAAATCAAAGGGATTAATATGTGTTCATATCCTTGCATTAGACCTTGACGTTCTTTTTTAATTTAAGAGTCATAATTGTTAGCGAATGAATGCAGGAGAAGCATTCAGCGAACAATATTTTAGTTGGTTGTGCAAAGGCTTCTTTCAGGGGTCACCCTTAACTGCTCGATGTATGCCCACAGATGTAGTACACAGGCAATTTCGGCTAGTTTGTGCCAACGTATTAGTCTATCTCTCCACAAGTTGTACATCCTTGTAATTATTTATTATTTTTGGTTTTGGAAGTTACAGGGAATTTAATATATTCTGATGGCTATGATTGATGAGCCACTATACCCAATAGCTGTGCTGATAGATGAGTTAAAGAATGAAGATGTTCAGCTGCGGCTAAACTCCATCCGGAAACTTTCCACTATTGCACGAGCACTTGGCGAGGAGAGAACCAGAAAAGAATTAATTCCATTTCTTAGTGAAAACAATGATGATGATGATGAAGTTCTTCTTGCAATGGCAGAAGAGTTGGGCGTGTTTATTCCATATGTTGGTGGTGTCGAATATGCTCATGTTTTGCTTCCACCTTTGGAGATTTTGTGTAGTGTAGAGGAAACCTGTGTTAGGGACAAGGCTGTTGAGTCACTGTGTCGTATTGGAGCACAAATGAGAGAAAGCAGCTTGGTAGACTGGTTTGCTCCTTTGGTAAAGGTAAGATATAAATGTAGCATCTAAGGAACTGTTTATTTCCTTACAATATTTGATCAGAACCTGTTAATTATATCTTCTTTGTATTCAACTATTTGTTCTGAGTGTTGTATCGTAATCTTCTGTTGGCATATTCTTAGCATTCATGAAAAATATCATGCAGAGAAAGACATATTTTCATAACATGCCTAGTAAAGATCTTCATTCTGTCTTCTTCTATTAGGATCCCATGGGATCATGAAAGTTGGAGAGAAACTTAATCCTAGTGCAATAGACATATTATAGTTGCACCTCTTTAAATGCATCTTTTCCCTTTGATACAGGTAGCAGCTTGAGGAAATTCACAAGTTGAGTTCTTGCCAGAATTTACAAATCCATTAACAGCTACCTTAGATGCTAAATTCTGTTAAGAGCTACATTAAAATAATTTATTTTACAAGTGGACATCTATTCTAGTGTGCAACCATTATATCCCATTCTTCTGAATAATGTTTGCATGTGCTTAGAAACACAAACTGTATATGCATGCAGAAGAGACACACATAAATATGTGAAGCCTTTTGTGCCACCATGCAATAGTCAAGCTGTCTAAACATATCCACCAGATTTTCTGATCGCATGCTAATGACAGCTCCTGGTGCTATTGGCTTGTTTACTTTATCAATGTAGAAACCTATATTTCCTTATGCATATCGTTCCAGTATTTTTTTTTAGTTTCCTGTTTGGTTTCTGATACTGTGCCTTCTACTTGCAGAGACTAGCAGCTGGTGAGTGGTTTACTTCCAGGGTCTCCTCATGCGGTCTCTTTCATATTGCTTATCCAAGTGCACCAGATCAGTTGAAGGCTGAACTAAGGTCCATGTACAGCCAGTTCTGCCAAGATGACACGCCTATGGTGAGACGAGCTGCTGCATTAAATTTAGGAAAATTTGCTGCT